TGTTTTGACGAAACATATTTATCCATCTTAAGTGAAATAATTATATATATATACATATAATAGAGGCTAGCATATGATCTAAGTTAACCGACAACCTTTAAATCCCTAGCTTATACATGTAATAATTTATATATGCCTGTATCATGTTTATATTGGCAGTGCATTGATTTCGAATATTGGCGTAAAGAACAAATTTTTGTTGCATTTCATATTCTTAAGTTAACTTTTTTATCAGCAAGAAACATATTCTATATGTACTTCATAGAAAATATTTCTATGGGCAAAAATGAAACTTCATTTCATTTCCTATAGCTATTCAAGTTTGAATTCCTTACGTGTAGAATACTGCTTGGGCTTTGAGAATATCTGGGCGGGAAGTATTTCTGAGAGGCCTTCAATAGGGATTGAGATTGGTACTCATGATTGGCCACTCCAGTATAGTGCGTGATTGGAAAAAAATTCTTTATAAGCCGGACGATATGTATGGGAGCGTTGTCTTGTTGGAATGTCCAATTGTCACCATATAACTATCTAGCATAGTCTGTTAAAGTGACCATATGCCTCCGCCTTCGTTTTGTTAAATATAAAGCATAATTTTTAACTTTCCTCGTACACCAAATGCAGATCATACCATAGGTGATCAGCGGCCACACGGTTACAGGTGTAACACGTTGGTCGGGGATGTCGTACATCACCTCAATATTTAAGATAATGATCAAATGCGTCCAAATTCAAACTTTTTTTCAACACTAAATATAAAATTTCTGAGCTCTTCACATACACACACACACATATATATATATATATATATATATATATATATGTATATATATACATATATGTATATAAATAAAACATTTCTGAGCTCTTCACACACACACACACACATATATATATATATATATATGTGTTGCATATGTTGGCAAAGGCAATACAAGCATTTTTATAGCGCTGGATTAAGCGTGCTTTGGCCATTTCGTGTTCACACCTAATCGTTGCGTCCTACTTAAGAAGTGCCTGCATACGGAACATTTAGACTCAATTCTACAATTCTGCTAAATGTTGAATATGCCGCTTGATCCTTTGAATTGAAGAAGGAAGCACTTGATAAAGAACGAGTATAGATACATAAAAATATATATGATAAACTCAAAAATAACTGAACATTCATTTTTGAATATATGAAACTATATTCGCACATATAATTATTTGTCAGATCGTATATCATTATCTCATGGTTGAGAAGAAAATCAATTTAAAATTTGAAATCAAAAAAAATAAGGTAAATTCCAAAAGATCATATACAATGCATATGCATAGTAAAAGTATTCTTCTCAACGTTAAATACATTCGAATAAATTGAATGTACTTTTACTACAACTAGTATATAATATGCCTTTAAATAAAGTTAGCTTTAATGAAGAAGCGTTGAAATACTTTCTATAACCTCACGCAGGAATATTTGTATATTATATAAGCAGTAGCAAAAAACTCAATATGTCAATATATATTTCTTTTCTTATTTTCTTATTTACTATTATTCATCTACGACTTGCTTCGGTAAATTTATACAAAATTCTTTATATTATTTGTCACTTTAAAAATTTAACAAAGACTTTCCTAAACGTGTATTGGGCTTGACGAGAATATTTATGAACGATATTATGCTTCTGTGCCCCCCTCCTCACTCATTTTGTAAACGTTACAAAATGCGATAGATAACGGATTGTTTATTTAAAACTTCACTGAATTGAATTAAAGCTAAAGGTTACTACTGCGTTACGACCACTATGTTCATTTATAAAATTGATTAGAAATTTACTCTGTGAATTTGAGCTTTAGTAAGTACTCTTGGATACATTAAAAGCAAAAAAAAAAAAAAAAAAGTGTACAAGTGTATAAAAAAAGTTTCTATTTTATTGGATTTTCTAAGGGACGGCATTCGTATATGTTTTCGAGCGTTTGCCACTACGTTCTTTCCGAATTCTTTATGTAAAAGTACTCTGCCTTTGCAGGCTCTACGCAGCACTACCAGTGATAACCTGATAGCTTTTGACAGCACTAAGCAGGATAAGCGGTCCTTTTCCTGCCTAATCCGAACGAATGCAATTGAATCACGTTGAGTTATAAGGAAGGAATGAACCTTTGCTCTATGTGTAGCGTGTAGCGAGCTACAGCAGCTCAAGGGCATACTCGTTAAGGATTGTTACGAAAGTAAATGCTTATGCGAATTGGCGCATGAATGTGTACGGCTAACAGACGACGTACGACGACGTTCGGCCTGTTATTGGAAACTCCGTCCAGGAAACTTTATTATTCGAATAGAACTAACGTGTGCTACTGTATCGCTGTACTCAATAGGCATTCCTCTGATTCTGATCAGTACCTTTTTGAAACAATGACTTGTTCTCTATATGAGCAGTTCCTCTATTGTTATGCGATGGCATGCAGTTCATGTTCATCCATTAGAAAAATGGGAAAACTATGCAAGTAAATAATTATTTTACGCAATTTTTTTTTTTTTTTTTTTTAAATAAAAAAGTAGCCATTACTTACTTGTAAGGCTGGTAAGTAAAGTGGCATATATATATATATATAACAAGAAATGAAAACATATCCAGAATATAATTGCTTTTTATATATCACTAAGAAAAAAAAATAAAAAATAAATAAATAAATGGAATAAAGTCTTTACATATTTACTTTAAAATTGTGTCACACGGTATGCCTCGAGTTGTCGGACAAAACTAACTCTGACAATTTTAATTGTTTATTATGAAAATGATTCTCCTTTTTTGTTTATTTAGTTACCCCCTTTTGCTTTTTTTTTTTTTTTTTTGCTATAATTCTATTGTAATTGTTAGTGCAAAACAAATATATGACAAACAAAGGGTTGAACAAAGAAATGAGAAACAACAAACAACAAACGGCAGATAACTTCTACGTGAAATTGAGGACGTGATCACGTACGACGAGGTAGAAAATAATATAAATCCTTTGAAATATTAAATAAAGCATAAATGCATGGATGCGAGCGACAAAGAAATTCTTTCAGTTAATTCAATATACTCTTATCCGTGTAGTATGTAAAGATTAAAGTCATCGCATAAGATCTTTTCATAAGAGAATTGTAGACGTTATGAGGACACGATATTTCGTCCACAAAAGTTTCCTATAAGTGAACAATGGTAATACGATCATGGGAATACGATACGGTTTGTTCGATTTTCATAAATTTGCTTTACCTTTACGGTCAATTTACAATTTTTATAATTGTTCTATATATATATATTGGTAAACATGCAACTCAGTTTTTTCCGTTCTTGTATAATTAAAAAAAAAAAAAAAAAAAAAAAAAAAAAAAGACCGTAATGTGAAATAATAGGCCGAATATCAAGAAATTTTGATGTCTTACGGTTGATGGTTAATACCATCTAAAACCTAGAGAGATTATAGAGATTCCCTCAATAGCTATCCTACGTTTGTTTGTCATCCTAAGGACTTTCTCAAAGTCAAAAATCTATCTTCAGTCGCAGTCAAAATCTATTTAACTCAAATAATAAGGAAGAATTTAAGATCAAGCTCGTACCTTTCCAAGTTCGTACCTTTTTCTTTTTTTCGATAGATATTTGAGAAGAAATAACGGAGTAGAGAGGCCAGTAATATAAAGTAAGGTGTAAGTTGTTTAGAAATGTTCTCTTATTTTAAGTATACACCAGTTGACTTAATCCAATCGTAACCTTTCAAAATAAGATGCTATATGGGGAGTGAAACCTGGGAATCCACCTGACTAGCCGAGTAAGTATCAACACCGACTACCAAGTTAGCGTACGCGTGTTCAGATCTCAAGCGCGACGGAATTTTTTTACGTCGCAACTATAGTAAGTGCTCTGTCGGTAAATGCACAACACTTATCAATTGGGCAGACATCCAGTAGACTCTGCTATTTCTATCTGGTTCCTCTGTTCTTTTTGGCAACCACCGTGCCATACGGATAGGGGACAGCCCCTGGGTGATTGGCTCAATAGCGTTTGTTCTTAGGCCAAAACACGCCAAGTTTTGCCAAGTTTTTTAAAAATATCTTCAAAATGAACGCGAACATACGGACAGACAACCGTAGAATCATTTCATAAATTGATCTTTTTTATAAAAGGTGGGTCCATCTTAGGCCCTTCCTTGCATTGCATATATCCACACAAACTTAATATAACCTTGTACCATAAGTTAAGATGAGCATATTTCGTTGCAGAAGGTTCGAGAATGGCCGATCCCAAATAGAGCCAAGTGAAATATTGGAGAGGTTAATTGTCAGCAAATAGGTCTGCAGCACCGTAAGCGACTTTCTAAGCAGAATGTTCAAAGAATTACGGCGGCTTGGAAGACACTTGGGTGGAAAGTAGAACGAGTGGAAGCCAATAGTGTATTCCACTGAGGTCCCATCGTCGGAAGCGTGCTAACGACAACCAGTCTCCGCGAAGTAATACCTAACGGTGGTCCCGCACTGGAGAGTGGTAGAAAAAGCATGTGGGGGGTGGGCGGGGGGTAGTTCTTAGTATATATGCATCACGCCTGGCGAATCATGCATGCTGCTATTAAGAACCAGCAGTATCTTTTAGAAGATTTTCTAACTCCAGCTCGCAGAGCAAAAAAAAAAAAAAAAGAAAGAAAATAAAGGTAAAGGCAAACGTAAAAATGATCCCAGTCATCTGGTTGACAGCTACGCAATTCGAAAAATAATTCGCAAAATTTCGTAGAGATTAGCTTTTAATGATGGGCATCGTAGATTCGACCAAAGGCGAATATGATTTATTTATTATTTTTTTTTGCTTGTTTTTGTTTTTAGTTTCTGAGAAACAGGAGCATATACTCACGTATATGCTGCCTTTAGATATTTAGTCTATTTATATAAAAATAAAAGTTTTTCTTTTCGTTTTCTTTTTAAAACTATTTTTAAAACAAATTTTATTGTTTTCAGTAAAGAGAATTTCTATTGCACTTACCAAACCACCGACTGCACAATAAATGGATAACGATACCAATAATCCAATGTGATTGAGGGCTGTTTTCCATTTCAATGACTTCCAACAGGCGGTTTTGCATAAACTATTCGATTTATTTGTGTTTTCTAAACGCACATCTAAATGTTTTAATTTCTCTAATAATTCGATATTGGCCTCATCTTGTGCATTAAATTCAATCATTTTTTTTTTTTTTTTCTCGTTTTATTTTGAGATCGAATTCTTTTTGCTTATTCAATTATGTGAACCGATCGTTTATAGCATTTACAGTTAGTTATTTTTGTTAAAATATTTTATCGCCTTATGTTGTAATGAGATCAGAGGCATTTTTACACGACATGTTTAACATTAATTAGTTGTAAGATCTATATAAACGATTTAATCATGTTTACAATATTGTGTGTGTTATATATTTAAAAAAAAATTTCAACATTAAGATGAATAAAATTTTTGGTTAGTTTTTGGTTAAAATTTTTTCCGCGTAGAACTATGTCAAGCGATAAACATTTAACTCCAACTAAATTTTTGGAGAACTTATTAAATAAACTCAC